CCCCCAAAACCCCAAAACCCCAAAACCCCTTGTTTCTAGACTCTAATTGAAAATTTAACCAGATAAATGTTTATTCTCTGCGATCTTCTGAAGTTTTTCAAATGAAAGAGGTACAGACTCAATATCTTCATCAACATCATGAGCTTCCAGCTGATCGCTAGGAATCTCCAAATTGTTCTTTATTGACCCATAATCTGTCTTTGGTGCAACCATCAGGATATTATTAAGAGTAACGATAGTAGGATCAGATGGGTTAATATCATTATTGGCTTTCAAATTCTGAGCGAGATAATAAGCATATTGCTTGATCATATCATTGATCATCTCTTCTACCATTCCAAGATAACTCATAATGTTGTCATGAGTTGTTCCCATAGATTTTGACATCTCTTTATATTTCTTACTTGTCTCATTATCAACGAGATCAAATATTTCATCGATACTCTGTTTGATATTATTGATCTTATCTACAGAGTTTTGATACTCAATGAGATTCTTCTGATACTCTTTCTCATTTTCAGCTATCTTCTCCTCTAGCTCTTTTTGCAATTTCTTCTTCTCATTATCATAGCCAAGACCTTGGTTTTTATACATTTCAATTTCTTCTTTAATGTCTTCTATTTTGGTGTCAAGTTCTTCTGATTCTTGGGTCAGCTCTTCTACAAACTTTGAAAGGGAGAAATTTCTCTCTTCTGCTTCAATAAAGTTCTTGACGAGTTCATCAATATCTTTGACTTTAGTGCTCTCTGCTATCTTCTTAAAGGCCTCTTGATATTCATTAAGCTTCTCTTGAGGGATGAGGCATTGAACCTTCTCGCTTGAATACCCATTAGCATTCTTTCTGTTCTGTTTCTGAGCATATTCTTCCTCAGCTTGCCTTGCTTCTTTATGAACTTTCTCCATATGAATCAATTCTTGCTCCTTTTGCTTTAACGATTCTTTCTTAGCTTTCTCTTCAGCTATTTTAGCATTAATATTATTGATCCCTTCATCGAATTCTTTCTTCTCTTGTTCAGCCTGCTTGATAAGATCAGCCAGTTCATTAGTCGCTTGTTCTCTCTCAATGTTAGCATTGTTGACAGTTTCCACAATTTTAGCCATTTTCTTCTTCTTTGCTTCTAAGTCTGAGGTTAGTTTAGTATAAATTTGTTCAAAGACAAGTCTTTCTCTTCTTAAAGAATCGATATCCTCTCTCAACTTTTTGTTGTTAGCCACAGTTTCATTATATTTCTGGTTCAGCTTATCAAGCTTATGCTCATATTGCTTGATCTCCTTGACTAGTTTAGAGTGCTTTTCTTGAGGAGTGATGCCTTTCATCTCATTCTTTTCCTTAAGAATTTGATTCTGGACTGCTTCGATCTGACTATCGATATTTTTAGACTTCCGCTCTTCCATCTTGATTCTTTCTCTGAGCTTCTTGACTTCTTCAGAGACAATTTCTTGACTTTCTTCACCTCCATCCCTTTCTTTAGATTCTGAGGCAGCTGGAGCTGTTTCCATTTCTCGAAATTTTGAATTATTTTTAACAAAATCCAACAATAAATTTGATATAGGGGTTTTGGGGTTTTGGGGTTTTGGGGG